CTCCTTTCACCCATAGTGTTTATCATCCGAAGTGGATAAAGAGAATTCACTAGGGAGCAACAGCAACCAGAGTAGAATGCGCCCCATGATCGAGTGTTCGGTTCTAATTAAGCATCGTCTAGTTGGTATTGTACGCTAGTATACCTGAAATAATTCTGGTTTAGCGAGTTTGTGACATTCCAATTTACCAAACCTGTCCACTGCTTCATCTGCTTACAACGAATGAGGCTCTGAAATTGGCAGAAGAAATGACTACTCGTTTACTGCATCATCAGTAAGAAGCGTCCACAATCGGCGGGGATTTTGCACTCACGCAATGTCGACAACACAGTGGAACAGAGGCAGACAAAAATTCCTATCGTCACCAAACCCGAATATACTATGAGGGACGCTCTTGGTTGTATAAAATGAGTTTCTAATTTCGGGTCGAATTTGGGGCTATTGACGAGACGTAGGCCAAGAGTGGGTTAAGGCTCTTCGAAGAAACCCAATATCAGGCACCACTCTTGCAGAGAAGGCGGTATGACTTGTCTGGATGTCACTGTATATTTCACACTAACGATCGCGGATAAGTTCACGGCTTATGCTGTTACTAAGCGCTTGCATTCCATCCTCATTGCCGAGGGACGAAAGAAGAAAGGGATAACTGCAGCACTGTGGGACAGGCTAGGCGTTCTACGTTTTTTGAAATATCGGTTCACGTGGGGCATTGGGGGAGGGAGAGAGACTGAAGCGAACACGCTCCCGTGTCATGAGGACCCGAGCGTAACGCCACGTCGGAGGGAGTAGACATACGCAGAAATTTAAGTTGACCCAATTGTGAAAAAACTCACGGCATTCGGCGGGATTTGAATCCGCATAGTAGATAAGGCCTTTACGCGAAGCCAATGCGCTCCTAGTTGAGCTACAAATGCCACGCCCCTAAATAATGCGCAGAAATTTAAAAAGGAATACTGAACGGTGCCAAATTAAGATGCGAGTCTCGTGAGAGACTTGGGAAACCGAAATCCCGATAAATTGCTTTGGCTCGATTCGTGCTCAGTCATGTGTGCAGACATCACGGTAGTATACTCCGCGACCCAGCATTCGCTAGAACCGAGAGGTCGTGTATTATGCAACACGACCTCAACGAACACGAGCAGTGCAGGGCCGGAACGACATAAAGACGATGGCTTCACGGAGTCCCGACTCGGCCCGTCACAGTTAATTCAAAAAATTGGAAAATTAGGTCCATCTGGCACAGTCGAGAAATAACTACGCAAAATTACATGCACATTTTTATATATTTGTGCCTGGTCGTGTGGCTCGAAGCGACGACCCCTTGGTCGGGGGTTTCTTGAGTAAGATTTTGTCACAGTTAAGAAGAGTAAACCACAGAACTCACCAGAAAGAACCTACTGTGACTCAACTGATTTCCGTCGACGACTTCAGGGCGTTCGTAGGCAAATTGCTGTTGAAGGACTGAGGGTAACATTTCCAGAAACCAGTTTAAGTGGAATGCCACCTCCCGTGTAAAGGTGTCCTTCTCGACCTCCCTAAAGCAGAGGAGAAACATAGGGTGATTCACTGCATTATATTTATAGAACTATCTAGATCAGAGCATGGCAACAGTAGAGTAGGAATGACAGAGTCAAAACAAAATACATTATATGCAACATCGGGGCGAACGGCGATAAATTCAACATAGTCCTAAAGTGTAAGTTCTAGGAGTACTCTTCCACGTCATAGACGTAAGGTCCAGAACGGTAGATGAATTGCCATGAGACAATAGTCGATATATATGCAAATATAATTCTAATTCTGACCGGAAAGACGCCGGGAGCCGTTCGACAGCCGCCAAGGATAGAACAAATGCTTTTGTGTGTACTGCCACGAAAATATCAATCAACCTACTCGAAAGTCATGCTCCGAATCCCAGATCAGACGAAATCCAAGGCCATTTAGGGGGTCAGTCCGGCGTGTTGGAATCAGGTGTTGAGCCTGCGACCGTCTCTAATGATCCGTCGTTTTTGCCCCCCCCCTCCCGGTCCATCCTATTAGAACGCTCCAGCGCAAGCCGACTAACACCACATGGTGCTGTAAAGTGTCGCTTGTTTGCGCGAAGTCGAACGCCTCTGGTCCCAGCTGTTGGTGACTCGGCGCGTGCGTCTCACAATACAGGTGGGATACCGATCAAGAAACGAACCACCGTGGCTCAAGTCCCAAGCGAAGTTCGCGGCGTCGCCATCTGAGCCAGGTTCTGCGCTGCCTCAATAAAGTGCTAACAATTCTGCCTTTGCCATGGGGAAAGTGGTAACTGGGGGGGGGTTGAATTGTGATAAAATCATCTGCTAAGCACGAGAAGCTGATAAATAGACGGGAAGTTTCGTCACGGGCCTTAGAAAGCTATGATAACGTAGCCATGCATGTCAAATGATTAAACGCAGATATATTAGTAAGTTGGATAGTCTGTGTGCGTCCCCAACACTTTTTTTGAACTTGAAACAGTGCGATAAACGCGTCAGGCGGACCTGAAAATAACGAGTACGGGATATTTTATAACTAGTAACAAACGTTTCTCTAACAGCCAGTAAGACTTCGATAAAAGGGATAAATTTGGGGGAGTTTTGAGTGACGGTGACTGTCTAGTGGTTCCCCTGCATGACCAAGTAGTGCATTGTGGGATTCATTGTCTGCATTGCTTTAGATTGGTGTATCGCAAATTGTGCTGCGAGTTGCTAAACAGGTAGAGCTGACGGAATCTAGAATTTCACTAATTGTGTGAAAAAAACTCCGATAAAAATTAGATCAAGTGTGATGGTGAAAAAGTCAGAATTGGCCTTTGAAATTGTGTCATCAGCTAGTGAGTTTGGCTGTAGCAGTCTCAGCCTACGGTTCTCCTAAATTACAGGCTAGGGAAGGGACAAAAGGGGGCTGTCTGTTTTTACGTTTTACTTAGTGTAATGCGTTAAGAACCAATTTATAAAAATTTGTGAGACGGTTGAGCAATATAGCTGCGGATCTGCTACTAATCCCAGACTTCCCGTAGATTGTAGTTGGTGGAAGACATCTCATACCCACTCTAGTCCGGGATACGATGGAGGAGGGGAGAGGTTCCTCAAGTAAGTGTCTGACTGAGCACTAAGCCCACAGCGCTGTATCTAAAAAACGAACAGCCAATACCAGCTCGCCTAATCCTGCGAAATCAGTGGAACCGACGTAGGATGCAAACGGATGGAGAGTTTGATGTGGCAGCTGGGAAACTGGGGCCAGTGCACGCTGTTCAAAACTACTACCTGAACAACAAAACTCCAACCCTTGACCAAGCCAGCTCTCCCTAATCAACTTCTCACTAATCTCTAATTGTCTATAGTCACGGCTTCCTGATAAACAACGCTGCGAAAGCCCGCGGAACGAGGAATACAACACTATCTATTACACAAGACTCAAATGGCTTTGTCAGGTTAAGACATACTACAAGAAAACCAGCACATCTGGAGATAAAAGGTAGATGGGAAGGCACACTCACTGAAGGTTCTTTGAAGTAGCTGATGGGGCGACAAATGACGGCTGAGGTGATGTGGCGGGTAGGGTCAGCGGAGAAGCCAGAGAAACTGCGCGCTTCGGGTGGAGGGAAGAGGTGACTATTCCCACTGTTGTCGGTGTCGAACCCGAACTGGAACGATGTCGGTCGATGTGACTGCCACCGGGACCGGTCAGTCGGGTCATTTGCTTGCGAACAGTGTTCACGAGTTCCAGATAAAGTGGTGAGGCAAGAGGTGAAGTAGCGGCCGTGGAGAGGAGGCGCAACAGAG